TGGCGTCGGTTCGTTGGATCGGCTTCGGGTGCCGTGATTGGCTGCCGCTCAAAATAGAACAAAAACGCAATATGGCCCAGGGCAAGCCGTCGGCCGTCGCGCTGGTCGGCAACACGGGCGGCGGCCAAGTAAAGTGGAATGCCGTCAAGCTCGGGGCAGCGTCGGTATTGGACCACCGCGTTGTGCTTGACAGCATTCGCTACGACTATGACATTGCCGATCCGCAGTCGTACCAAGTCCTCAAGCAAAATGCCGACCGGCCGTGTCCGTACACGCAACCTTTTCCAAACGATCAGTTCGCAACGCACGAGCCATCGCTCACTGCTGCTGTCGCGGCCGTCTCCTCGCCTTTCAACGCCGATCGCGAGTCCCCCAAAGAAGATTCAATTTCAAACCTTGTCCATCACCGCACCACGGTCGCCAATGAAGCCGACATCACCACAGAAACCGAGGTCGCCACCCAAACCCACAACACAAGTGTCATCAACAACGTCACCACGCGCCAAGCAAGCGTGGTCGTTACCGCTCGTAAAGGAGAGACCCAAGCACATTCCGTCGATTGCCGAGGTGGACCGCAAGCACACGCGTCAATTTGCACTGGCCAAAATGCAGGTGGACGGACTCGCAAGTCAGCTCTCCAAGCACGAAAAGACAGGCAAAACTCTCAAGAGCTCCCTCTCGGACGACGACTTCACCGCGGCGTGCCTCACGGTCGCGCGCCTCGCGGCCGAGTACGCCGCGATCGGCGATCCCGAGACGTACGTTGGTCAAGTCCATGTTTCGAGCCTATCACTATGATTTATGCTAGGGCATGGGTCTACCGCTGCTTTGGCGCGCGTGCGCTAGGCGACCGCTACATCCAGTCCTTTCTGAAAAACGTCACTTTGCAGTTTTACGACGACGCGGTCGTCGACTTGGAGCGGGCGTGTGGGCACTTTCAAACACTCTTTGAGATCAAAAACCAGGTCCTTCCGTCTTCGAGGCCTCTCTCAATCGACGACGTAGACGAATTATGCGCGCACCGAGGACGAGACCCAGAGCCAAAGCGATCGCGATCGGTAGGAACGACCACCAATATCCATCCATGTCCACATCTACCAACTACATTGACGAGCACGCACGTAGCTTCATGCTCTTATCGCTTGCCCCCGAGCACGTGGTCAAGTCGTTTGCGGCCCACGCTGCCAACACGGCGCTGCGCCAAGCGTCGATCGCGATCGCCGAGGCGAAATCCCGCACTGGCAGTGTCTTCCACATTCGCATGGCGTGCGAGATGCTCTCGATCGCGTACGCGGCCTTTGCGTGGCTCCGCTTGGAGACTGACCAGCTGGGTATCGTGCACACGTCGATTGACGCGGCCCAGCGCAACGCCACGCTGGCGACGGCTTTGGCGACCTTGGCCTCGAACCGGCACAAGGCGCTCGTGACCGAGTGGATCACCCACCACGAGACGTGTGCGGCGCAGGCGCAGAGCTTTCTCACGATCGCCACGACCGCCGACCGGTTGCCGAAAGACGTGGCGATCGCATCGCGCATTGCCGCGACCAACCTCGAGAAGCGCGTCATGGTCGCGGTGGTCCAAGTGCTCCAAGGCCGCGGCGTGGACCGCAAACATAGCAGCCGCATCAAAGCCACGCGCGACCAAACCAAGATGGGCATGTCGGAGCAACGGCTTCGTCGCAAGAGCGCGCTCTCGGGCCACGTGGACGGGGCGTACGTGAGTCTTCTCGCTGCCAAGCGCCGGTCGGACCTGCTGGCCGCGTCGTACGAAGCCAACGTGTACGCGCTAACAAAGGACACGCGCGCCGTGCTGCCGCTCCAACCCCCGTCGCCGCGACAGCAGGCCGAGCTCGCCGCCATGGACGACGAGGCCATCGCGTCCATGGCTTACGAGACGGAATCGGAGCGCCGCGAGCTTGTGACGCACCGTGTCGCTGCCGGCTATGTTCGCCACGTGCTCGATCTCAGTGTGCGCCGCATGCTGCGAACCGTGGGCGCGGTCCCCACCCCTCACGCCCCCTCGGCAATACCACCACCGTCGTCTGCGCCGGCGACCTTTTTCGAGTTGGACTTGGACACGCAGCGCCACGTCCTTTTGGCCGAGATCCAGCACTGCAAAGCGCTGTACGAAGGCCGAGTTGCGGACGAGGTGGGCACGATGCAAAAGCTTCGCTGCCTCCTCCACGAGCCCGTCCGCGTGCAAGAGGCGTCCGAGGCTGGCGCGTACGCCATCTTGCAGTCGCCTACAAGCAGCGCTCTGGAGACCGACGCGTACGAGATCGAGTACGCCGACATGGCATGGTAGCGACCCCCTAAATCCCCCCACTGTCAACAACGCAAAGGGCGGTGTTGTCTGGATGGTGTCCGTGTTAGCGTGGCAGAAAGGATGTTCACAAGCTCTGGCGCTGCCAATCGTTGTCGCGGTACGTCAGCTGGCTCGTGGGCCAGAACGTCGGCTCGAGCTTGAGCGTCGTGAGATGCATTTTGCCCCCGAGGTCCATGTACTTGACGCGGATCGAGGACGCGGTCGCCGACTTGGCCGTCACAACGCGCACAAAGTCGTCGAGGTTGGAGATCGGGATGCCATCGAGCTCACAGATGCGGCTCGTGGGCGGCGGGCCATACCGCGCCGCCGGCGACCCCGCGTACCTACAACCGCGCTGAGAAAAGAATCGTTGCATCCAAAGCAGAGGTTACCGGCACGACACATAGACGCCGTCGCGGGACGAGATTTCGCGCTGCGACGCGACCGAGAGCGGCGGGACTTGGAGGAGGAGGCCTTGCCAAAATACGATGCGATCGACTTCCCAGCTCTCGAGGTGCACCGTCTTGAGTGTCACGTCCATGCGCGTGCCCTGGCGCACGATCGTGGCCCGCACCGACTCCTTCTGGGTTGCGATCTACGGTTTTTGTCAGTACCGCGTAGTACGAGGACGCTCGGTGGACCTCGACTTCGCGGAACGACGTGACGACGCGGTCGTCGATCGCGACCAGCACATCGCCGTTGCGCAAGACGGCCGAGGCGTCGGTACCGCCCCAGCGCCGGCCCACCGATAAGATCGTGCGGCGCGCGGGTGCGTGTGCCTCGAGTGCTTTCGCCGTCGCTTCGTCCATGCCGAGTTCGCGGCCTTTGGCGAGGCTAATGTGCTCAAAATCCACGCCGAGATCAAAGAGCTTGGGCGACGCTTCGCCGTGCAGAAGCGGCTCGACGCTGTCGAGAATGATGTCCATGGGAATGCCCCGCGTGAACTGCGACTCGACCTTGGTCGGCCCGCGCTGCTGCTGAAACGAAAACGACGCCCAGAACGCGGCGACGGCGCCCGACGGCGTGCACACCGCGCCGCCTTCCGTGTTGACAACGTCTTGGAGCGCGACCATTTCGAGGTTGTGCTCTTGGTACCGCGGCGGGTTGGGCATCGGCAATGCGATCCACTTGACACTCGAGACAAGCGTCTCGCGCGACACGAGCTCCGACCACGAGCTCCGGCCAATCTACACGGTGCGTTTGTATCAACGTTTCAACCTTTCAATCGATCAAAGGTATCCGCAACGTACGCCGCTCATGAGCCCGACGAGCCAGACCGGGTCGGACGGCTGCAGCGGCGTCCGCGAGACAGTCGCCGACTGCACGGGCGTGTCCCCAATGAGGCTCGGGTTGTACTGGACGATCGCAAAGTTGTGCACTGGGTGCACGAAGCGGACCTTGCCGGGGACGACGAGCGTATTGGCGAACGTCACCATGACATCGCCGAGGCGGTCCGAGACCGTGTTGCGGTCGACGACGACAAGGCCTTTCTCCGCACTCAGCACGAGACCCTAATCGAGTATTGACGATGCAAGCGTCAAGTGGCATCCACGTACGGTGCCGCGGTAGTTGGCCATGTTCTGGCTGTTGATCGAGAACGGGCGGTCGTACTCGATCGTGACCAGCGACGGGGCCAGCGCGCCTTCGATAAAGTTTTTTCCGGGCAGAATCGACGTCGACCCGACCGGCGACGGCTCGGACGTCGGCGGCAACGACATATCGAGGCTCGTGCACGTCCATGCCCCCGTCGCGTCGTTGCGAATGTACTCTTGGAATGGAAACCAGCGGCGATCGACGTGGACGACCTCGACCTTCTCGACCTTGCTCGCGAGGTGCTTGTACTTGACCACCAAGCGCGCCTTGTCGGGGCACTGCAGCAAGACGGTTTTGAGCGCGTCGAGCGTTGGCGTCGGCGTCCCGTTCACGGACAGCAGCAACGCGCCTTTCGGAATGCGCGACCGTTGCAAAAAGTAGCCCGGGTCCGCCACATACGGCGCGCCCGGCGAGAGCACGTGGTTGCGCGCCTGCTGGTACGAGAGCGGGTTGATCGTCGCGCCGCCGACATCGAGGAACCGCGACGGTGTGATCGCGTGCAGGTCGTCGACGTCGACGTCGACAGTGATGAGCTCGCCCGCCGGTCCAGCTCGAGGCGGACCTACACGTAGAGAGATTGACTTTCGACACATCAATATCGACGCGAAAACGTACGGAGGCGTGGATGGCGTCGTCGAGGACACTCTCAAGAGGCACGAATTCGTGCAGCAGCTGGCCGTTCACGCGCAAGAGCACGTCGCCTGGCTGCAACTTGTCGTGGCACGGGCTGCTCGGCAGCACTTCCGCAACGACCAGCAGGCCGTTGGCTGATGGAAACGCTTGCCGCACGGTGGCTTCGGTCGCCGCGGGCAGCCCGAGACGGCGCACTTCATCAAACGGCTACGTGTCTGCAATGCCAACGTGTCCAGACTAAAAAAGACACCTACCTTGTGCTGAAACACGGTCTGGATCGTGCCGCGTGGGACGTCGGCGCCGGCTTGGAGGAGCTCGAACGCCCGCTTGACCCGGTCGAGCGGGAGGTAGTAGGACGCCGACGTGCCCATTTTGCCACCCGCGTTCAAAGCGATCGCGTCGCCGTCGCCGTTGAGCACGGGCGACCCGGACGACCCGCCACTCGTGCCCGACGAGGCCTGGAAGTAAAACGTGTTAAAGTCGTTGTACGTGTTGAAGCCGTAGTTGGGGCATTCGCGGTCGAGGCGCGCGAGCGTGCCAGACGCGATCGCGAGCTTCTCGGCCGCGTCGTTGCCGACCACGCGGATGTCCGTGCCGACCGTCGCTTTCTCCGGGCAGAGCTGGAGCGATGGCACCGCCATGTGCCGGACATCCTAGTCCCAACCATG